AGCTTTACACTTCCAATTTGTATTTCAACTAGATTTTAACCCGCGGTACACCGCGGGGTTATAATTTTTTAAGAAAATCGAAATATAATTTATTTAATAGATTATTTATATATATAACCTATTATTTAATATTTTAAAAATGTACATATATATATATATATATATATATTTATATATTATATTATTATTAAGTGTACAGTTACAATGTTAATATTTTATACATATATATAGAGAGATTGACCCGTGGTACACCGCGGGACTATATTTTAAAAAATAGTGAAATGTAAATAATTTGAAGTTTATATATAGATATAAACGATTATATTGTATTTTTTAAATACATATATAGTGTATGACCCATATAATGATTTATATACATCTATATATTTGCAATCTAAACTAAATCAGAATCTAATATATCAAATCAGTATTTTAGAAGATTATGCTACAATTACAATTGTTATTATAATTTAATTCTTTCTTTAAGTTTGTTGGTATGATTATATTGGTGCGATTTTGTGTTGATAATGAATTTGATAAGTAATTAGTTGAAATAAGATATTTCAGAATCTATTTTCTAAAAAGAAACTGCGGAGATTTTTTATGGAGAAAAGTTATTAATTTGTTTCTTAAAATCGTTTAGTTAGAGATATTGGAAGAAATTTTGGATGTGAAATTTTAAAAAGTAGTCGTGGAGTAATTATGGAGAGATTTGTGGCAATGTTTATTTACTGGTAAATCTCTTATTTAAATGGGAGACTCACAAAAATGCTCCCTTTTTAATACTCTTTTTCAAAAATGCCCCCTTTGGCTGTCCATTTTTAAAAATACCCCTTTTTATGTACAAAATGACTAAATTACCCTTCTTTTAATAAAAGATATCACAAATATATAAGGAAATATAACAAAATTAGGTCCACAAAATACAAAATATTTTTTGGCGGGAAAAGTGATCCCGCAATTTTTCCCGCCAAAACACTTGTAAAAACTTGTAAAAAACCTTTAAAAAACCTTGTAAAATTTTCCCGTAAAACTTTTTCCCGCCAAAAAATTTTTTTTGCGGGAAAAGT